AGATATACAGCTATGTTCTCTTAATTTAATGAATAGAAAGATTTGTACTGATGGTGTTTGTGGACAGGCTATCATGTCTGCATCTTGTACCATGTATAACCACTAAGAAGACAACAATATGCAATGTATTAATTATTGAAACTGTCCTACTAATCGATTTGGAAACTGTCGCATTGCTATTTGTTTCTCAATAAAATTATTTTATAAAAAAGAAAATGGGTCACTTTAAATTTCTATTTCTTACAGTTCAGAAGTCTTTGGAGCTGGCTTGTGGGAGAAGTTTGGAAAAATTTGGAGATACCAAGCGGAGAAGCAGCCCTAGCATGCCATGAGCAGCTTAATGGGAGATTCTGGAGGGAGCTCAGAAAACCAGAATGCTGACAGTAATGCAGGTGTGAAGACCAAGCTCGGGCAGTTCTGGTTGTGAACAAGGACTCTGTCAGCACTTGCTCCAGGCCATGGGTGCTCTGCTCTGGAAGAAAACTTGTCTACATTTTGTTCCTATCCTGAAACTTAGAGGGAGACTGAGGTTAAGGGGCAGCAGACTATTTAATCTAGAGGAGGAAATTTCAAGGCAGCCAAACATTCAGCCTTAGGCCCAGGTACTGTTGGAGGCTGTTAACCAGTTTTACCTTGAGAATCAAAGGCAAAATGCACCTGAATGATTTTCAAAGTTTTAAAGTTTTTAGTTTGGCCAGAAAGAAAGCTCTAGTTCTGTAGGAGCCTGCACAAATGGATTAGAAGAGAGCTTTGTTACTTTAAAGATTAGCACTAAAAAGAAGCCAAGGTTTTTGGACCTGGACAATACAGTGGATGGTTTGGAGGGCAGAGAAGAATCTGAAAGCCCTACCCCTCACAGACCATAAAGTGGAAAAGTTAAACTTCACTTTGAGAGGAGCAGCAGCCTTGGGAATGGGAAACAATTTCCCAGGGTTCAGTTTACTGTGTTTAGCCATCCACACATTCAAAGGCCTTTGCAACTACCTGCAAGATGCAAAGGGCTAGGCGACTGTTCAAGTGGCAGACCTTGGTGTCAGCCTTGTGGCTTTAGTTCTACAGTCAGCCTTGTGGCCTTAGTTCTACAGGCATGCAGAAGAATTCAAGTGTTGTGGGGTTAGGAAGGCTTCCAGCCCGATTTCAGAAGAAGACCTGGGAGGCCAGGCAGTGTGCTCCTGACAGAGAAGTTCATGAAGTTGTGTCAAACTCTCAGTGCAGTGCAGAACCCAGAAAGTAACAGAAGCCAGGAGCTTGGATAGTCTGAAAAAAAAGCTGCAAGCAGTGAGGGACACCAGCCTAAGAGAGAAGCCAAGAGAGTTACCACCATTGGCTGTGCCGTAGGGGTGGAACAGACTAACCCCTTTGGAGTCTGCGTCTCACCACAGTTTGCCCAGCATTCTGGATACGGAACTCTAAGATATAATGTTTGCCCTTCTGGGTTTTGGCTTTAGTTTGGCCCCATTGCATTCTACCCTTTTTATTTCCTTCTTTCAGAATGGGAATGTTTACTCTGTGCCTTTGTGCATTGACAGTATTTAACTTTCTTTTCATTTTTACAAGTTCTCATAATTAAGAGCTTTCCTGAAATCTCAGGAAGACTTTGGATTTGGACTTTTCAGCAAACTGCTGAACCTGTTAGGATTCTAGCTAATTTTAGAGATAGATTCAATGCATTTTGCACAAAGGGATGCCCATGAATGTTTTGGGGCTCAGGGGTGGAATGTTAGAGCTTATATCTTGGTGTGCCCCCAAAGACTCATTTGCTCACAGATGGGGCTTTGAGAAGTGATTTGTCTTGGTTTCTTTTCTCTTGTTGCTTGGACAACATACCTGACACCCCAAGGAAAGATTTATTTAGCCCATAGTTAGTGCAGATTTCAGTCCATACTTAGCTGGCTCCAAGGCAGAGTGGCACAGGGCAGAGGGCAACATTTTATTGGTGGATAACAGCAAAAAGCAAAGGGAGGAGCAGCGGCTGCAGCAGCTAGCAAGCCTCTCTCACTTCCTTCCATTGTATGCAGATTATGCACCCCAGGGGGGGTGTAGCACGCACACCCATAAGCTCCACTTTGAATCATGAATTTATCACACACTCTAGAAGATGTCCCAACGACTGCATGAGGCTTTGGGGGGACAACTAGACACAAACCATAGCGTGATAGTATAATGGCTGTGTGGTACTAATCAGTGCATTAGTAAATTATTGAATTTGTAGCTGAATTTGATGTTGGAAGGTAAAGCCTGGTTGGAGGAGGCAGATCACCAGGGTCTGGCCTGGAAGGGTCTATCTCCCTCCCTCCACTTTAGATCTTGTTCTCTTCTTTGACCACCATGCCAAGGACAATTTCATTTTTGCCATATCCCTTTGCCATGCTACCCTGCTTTGGAGCTAGATGAACATGGACTAAAAGCTTTGAAAACTGTGAGCCAAATTCAAGTTTTCTCTTTTAATTTGTAGGTGGCAAGGATTATCTCAGTGACAAGAAAGTAACTAAGACAGTAGATATTCAAAATTCTCCAAAACTCATCTTCAAGATAGTGTGGTGGGGAATGAAGTGAAACCAACGTAGCCATCAAGTCTGACACCCAGATGTGACCTGAGGGGGCAGGTCTTGTGGGACAGCACAGTGGGTTTTGCAAATTCCCAGCATCAGCACAGGGAGAGGACTCACGGAGAACCAGGGCCTTGGGTGCAATAATAGAGAAGGGAGGGAAGAGAACAAGAGGCAGGTTATCTGAAGAGCTGCTCAGCCTATGTTCCTTTTGGGACCAAGGGTTTCATGAATAGAACAGGGGCACAGGCTTCTTGGGCATAAGAGCAGGGCTCAGTGAGCAGAGGGGGAGGACCCTGCACTGGCAGAGGCAGAGCACACACTGGAGCAGAGGCCGGCACTGCTCTCCTCCACCTTATGCAGGGAGAGGCCAGGGGACCCAGAGCACAGAGACCATCTAGGCCTGGGAGGCACCATAGGGAGGACGAGGCATTAAGCCCACACTCCTCCCAGTGCTCAGCCTGTGGGCCTATTGTGTACTGGGAGCTGCAGGGTCAGTGCTTTACCCACTCAGCTCTGCCCAGAATAATGTCTAATGTACGGCTGCCTGGGCTCAGATCCTGGCTCTGCTGTAGAAGTTACATTGTGCCTCAGTTTCCCTGTATGGAATGGCAAGGAGGCTAAAGTCTGCAAGGAGGCTCAGAGCACCCATGCTGGCAGCTCAGGCCCTGGAGCAAGACTTGTGAGCAGGGTACAGAGACCACGGGAGGCTGCGCCTGGATGCACAGCACTGACTGTCCCTTGTGCACTCTCAGGTCTTAGGGACTCACAGGCCACACAAAGGATGTAGGAACACTCAGTTCATTTGTGACCAGGGCCCTTTGTGCAGGATGAGAGCCTGGGGCGTCTGCTGACCCTGGGCAGTGTCTGTGGCCAAGCTGCTGCTGTCTCCCGAGGCCCTTACTGTCCTCCCCGGCCTGGCTTTGTCCATATAGCCAGCTGGTGTCAGGCTATCTGAATGGGGATGGGAGGGAGCCCTAGAGCTGCCCCAGGAAGTGGGGTTCCACTGCAGGGAA